AGAACTGTGTCTCATTCACATTATTTCCCTTGTGCTTAACACAGTGAAGATTTCAATCTGTGTGTGTGTGTCTCTCCCTTTTGCAGTGTTGTATGTGGACATGAAATTGTACTATTCAAAGTGGCCCGAGTATACTAAAGAAAATTTTCAGACTTTCACTCTGGTTTGGAGAAGGAGGCAATTATAGACAGTTACCATCTTTATTCAGAAGTCTTACTTATTTCTGTTTTGTTTTGTTTAGTTTTTTGAAATGGAGTCTTGCTCTGTCTCCAGGCTGGACTACAGTGGTATGATTTCAGCTCACCACAACTTCCGCCTCCCAGGTTCAAGTGATTCTTCGGCCTCAGCCTCCCAGGTAGCTGGGACTACAGGTGCGCACCACCATACCCAGCTAATTTTTGTATTTTTAGTAGAGACGGGGTTTCACCTTGTTAGCCAGGCTGGTCTTGAACTCTCGACCTCGTGATCTGTCCACGTTGGCCTCCCAAAGTGCTGAGATTACGGGCATGAGCCACTGTGCCCAGCCCCAGAAGTCTTCTTTTTAAATTTGTCCTATTTCTGCCAAGATTGGTATTTTTTCCTTTAATGTCTATGTTATAACTATTTAAATATTTATATTTGCCTACAAGTATTGGTCAGTTTATAATGTTACTTATAGGTGAAGTTTTTTTCTCTTCACCTACAAAGTCTCATTTAAAAAAGTATCTTTCAGGATAAACACTGTAACCCCTTAGTTGCCATAGTAGTTTTGAGGAAGTTAATGTGGCTTAATCTCATGTGGGGTGTGGTGGTGGGTGCACTGTCCCATTGAGGAGCTTTTGATAACAGTAGCTTTCTTAGAAATACTTCTTTCATTATTAAATTGAGGAAGATACATTTATGTTGTACTAATCTTATTTATCTTTTGTGTATGGAAAAAGAATGTTTCCATTTTTCATTTATTAAGAGTTGTAAGTGAGAGCATTTTAAGATTACTAGTACCGGCTGGGTTGCTGTGGCTCACACCTATAATCCCAGCACTTTGGGAGGCTGAGACTGACTGATCACAAGGTCAGGAGTTCGAGACCAGCCTGACCAACATTGTGAAACCCTGTCTCTACTAAAAATACAAAAAAAAAAAAAAATTAACTTGGTGTGGTGGCATGTGCCTATAATCCCAGCAACTCAGGAGCCTGAGGCAGGAGAATCACTTGAGCTTGGGAGGCAGAGGTTGCAGTGAGCCGAGATCACACAACTGCACTCCAGCCTGGGCCACAGAGTGAGACTCTGTCTCAAAAAAAAAAAAGAGTTTAAGAGATTACTAGTACAAAAATTTGTCATGATTTGGTCCAAGTTTGCCTTAAGTTTAAACTAAAATTAAAAGTCTTGGCCTATAAGCACTTATAAGCTGTCAGTTATACTACTGTAGAGCCTTAGAATTGGCAGAGACCTTGAAAGTCATTTGTTCTAGCTTACCCCTCAAGCTCCTGGACAGAGGCCTGTTTGAGGCAGATCCTTATATGATTCTAATTGTAGAAAGCTGTAAGAAACTGTAGAAAGTTCTTAGAAAGTTAACAGTCAAATTCTGTTTTTAACAAACTTGCGCCCACTGGTCCTACTTCTGCCTTATGTAATTTCCCAGAATAAAGCTAAACTTCTTAGGTTATCTTATGTTACAGCAGTTTAACACCTATTCTGTTCTTCTTTTTGTTTCTTTGCCTATAGCTTCAGTTGTCAAAGTATTCCTTATTTTGTATCCCTGTCGACATTAAAATACGTCATGTAAGCATGTATCGTCCACAGTGGTATTCAGAACTGAATTCATTCTTCTTACGGGGCCTGTATTGAGGTAGTGGAGCATCCTTGATTTGGAAACATACCTGCCCCCATTGTCTCCTAAGATTGTCTTCACTTATGAGCTCTCATTAATTTATAATTTAAACATCTTAGCTTTTTTTAATTAAAAAAGACTTTTAAAACATTTTCATTGTTTTACAGGTATGCAGTTTATTTTGTATCAAAATGCAGACAATTCTTTTTTAAAATTTTTGTAATTCACCATATTGTTAATACCTTTAATTTTTAAAAATTTTTGTAATTCAGCCTGTTGATATACCCTTTGTGTTTTATATGCAGATTTGATACATGTTTTTCTGGTCTTCATGCCAGTAAATAAACTGTGGAACAAGACACGATCCAGTGCAGAGTCCTGTTAGTTATCTTAGAACCATAACACTAGTTTGAAGAATTGGGTGGGAGGGTATTTCCACCCAAATGCTTTATCTCTGAGTATGTTTGTTCAGCTAGAAGTGTTCCTAATTGTAGCATGGAGCTCTGTTTGGTTCTTAAGAATGCCACCAGAGACTTTTCCAAGTGCTTTTAGTATCATAAGATGATGTTTTCTGGACCCAAATGCTTGAATTATTGGTAAAGTGTCAAAGTGTTTTTTTAACTTCTCTATTCTAGGAGGAATCATTTCCATGCCATTTTCATCAAATATTGGGAGACTACATGACAAAAAATTCAGAGCTCTAAGTCAGTACTATAGAAAGGTCTTAATTGAATGGCAAAACTCCCACAGTATCATAGCTTTTAAATACTTTCTTATTAGTCATGGAAGCTTTTTTCTTAGTTTTATGTCACTTAAAATTCATATCATTTTAAGAATAATAAGCCTTGGTTTTTAGTAAAAGAAATAAACCAAAACCTTACTCTGATTTATTACTCGTTATTAAAGTGACTGGGATTCAAAACGATGAGAGCACAGTGGAGGGTTTTTACTATAGTGTTCACATTTTTTTCTGCCATAAATTTGGTTATAGTTCTCTACAGACACTACATTTGTATAAAGAACTCTGTGATACTCTATTTCTGTCGATGGGATTCCAAAATTATAGACACTGATGTCAATGCAGATGAGGTTAGCCTAATTTGGGCAAGAGAGGGACATGCCGAGTCTCTATATGGATAGCTGAAGGCTATTGCCAAGATTGACAGGTGTCCTGTGAGTGGCAGAGAGCCCCGGGGACAAAATTTTCTCTTGGTTTACTTCTCTAAGAAACAATGAACAAAGTCATATTTTTTTTCTATTGATCACACTCAAAATAGTGAGGTCTGCTTTTAACTCAATTTCTGATAATAGCCTTATAAACTCCAGAAAGGTAGAAAGGCTTGTACTTTCCTCTTAAAGTATCAAATTCTGTTTTTGAAAGTTTAGGTGTATCCTATGCATTAATTCTTCTAGAATAGTCACCTGATTTATTGTTACTTTGCCATGTTTTACAAAGGATTTGAGACAACTACAAAAACAGTTAATGTAAAAGAATACATTTGTTATTAGTGTAAGAGAGGTAACTTCATGGAATAATAAACTACATGATTCAACTCAGGAAAAATAAACTTTTAGAATTATCTGAATTATAAGCATATTTATTGTAAAAGAGATTTCATACTAATTTGAAACAGCATTTGTTTTTATTTCATCTTATTGACATTTTATTAAAATTTAATTATAAATCACCAAGATAAGTAGTACTAAATAGATCTCAAAATAAAAAGTTTTACAGCCATTAGGTTGAGACATTGAGAAAGTTGAGATTACTACTTTAAGAAAAACTGTAACCTGAGATTTGTGTAAGATTTGAGTGATGTAAATGTGTCATTTGCAATGAAGGCTTTATGACTTTAGGCATAAACTCAATAGCTGTTTCTGTTCATTAATAATAGGAAATGTTCTGATCTTGGAGTATTGTGTCTTGATTATTTCTGTATTACTATGTCAGACATTAATAGAAATTAGGAAGTGGATGCTGAGGGAACCATTTTAGTGAGCCAACCTATTAACTAGCATGAGAAATGAAAGCCAAGAGCCCAGTCCTGCTGAAGATCAAAGAATGTTTCTTAGTGCACTTGTAAACACAGTGCAAGTTCCTGTCATGGACCTTTGTGATTGCAGTTAGGTCTAGAGTTAAGGTGAAGCTAGAGTGGTCAGGGCATTTTCATTTCTAGGTTTCAAATAGAGTAGAATTTAATTCTGATTTAGCTAAAATTTGTTGAGAGTCCACTACAAGCTAACTATTTGTTTATAGATACCACTTACCTCCCATGAAGGGGAGGAAAATAAGGCACAGAGAAATGGTGATTTGCTCATGGCACTAAAGCTGGGAAATAAATCTAGGCTGTCAACTTCAAGCCCAGTAGAGTTTTGAGATGGTAGAAATAATCTAGATAGAAATTCATTTCAGTGAGATGACTTTTAGAACTGCCTTTCTTACTGCCTCTTTTTAAATCTTCATCTCAGTTATGATTCTTTAAGTAGTGTACCAAAAATAGCCATCTTGTATTTGCTTTTCAAAACTTGACTCTTTTTGAGCAGTTGATAGGAAGAGAATGTGAAGGAGGAGAGGGTAGCATCCCTGGGCCAAGCATCTAAGCAGTAGGCTGATTTGAAGTGTATAGCCCAGGCCAGAGGGGCAGAGAATGACCTCCAAGCCCAAGGCCCAGGCCGCAGCCTCTTACAGGTGACCGCTAGCGTTTCCCTTGAGCATTGGCCTAAGATACATTCTGCTGCTCTGTCCCATGCCTAGACATCCTTCAAGTTTGGTTACTAGAACCTTACTGGAGGAGAGAGTAATCAGAGACCTTGACAGTCTCATATTAAAGCTAGTCTCATGGCAAAAATAAAAATATTATCTGGATTTGTGCAAAGATGAGTATTACAGCTTGTTAGTTCTGTAGCAAGAAGTGAAAAGTTTGTGGCCATGTGTTAAGAATGGTTTCAAGTTGGGAAAATTTGGATTTACACCTGTAGATTTAATTTACACTTAATTTTGACAAGCCTGGAATTGTCTTATCTTTTAAATAAACTCTTTGCACTGAGGATTAGGTAATGAAAATGACATTATTTTTTAACTATTGGGTTCTTTTCAAATATTTTAGGATTATCGTTTGTGTACACTGATGATCGGATGACGTCTTGTCATGGACTGCAGTCACTCCTGAGTGTTTCTTCAGTGAGCCCAAGCTATCTTCACCTCTCTGTGGGAACTCTGCGACAGTGGCCTGACGAGCTCATCTATCCCTTACCCCACCTCTCTATACTTGACCAAAGTGGTCTTTTTAAAAAGCAAAATCCGCTAAAGTAGTTTAGCAGATTGTAATTCAGACAAGACATCCCCAGGTGGCCCACATAGGGCCTGGCCTCCGCTCCCCAGGGCTACTGCAGCTTCTGGCTCCTCCTCCCTGCCCTTGAGCCGCCCTGGTCTTTCTGTCTCTCAGACTTGCTGGGCTTGGTTTTGTCTCACCCTTTGGCCCTCATGCCTGTTCTTCTGTCTGCACAATCTATCTTCTGTCTTCAGTTCTTGTACCATCGCATTTCATCTCAGTGTCATTTTAGGGATTCTGGAAGAAGGCCTTCACCTCTTAACTAGGTCAGATTCAGGTTTCTTTGGCATTTCCTATCGCTGCTTCATAGCACTTGTTACAGTTGCACTTTTGTGTTTATTTACATAATTTGATTAATGCAGACTCTTAACTAAATTGCAAGCACCACAAGGGCAGGAACCTTGTCTGCTTTTATTTGATGCTTACATTCCCTGCCATCTGATACAGAGCCTGGTACATATTAGCAGCTTAATAAATATTTGCTGAATACTTGAATGAACATTTCACAAAAGGCATTTTCTCAGCAGTATTATCTGCAGCCTCTAGGTCATGAAGATGGATGAATAGAGGCACACTATTATTGGAAAGCTCATTCACAGCCATAAGAACAAGATTTGTACCAAAAGTATGTTAGATTGCAGTTAGGGCTTAGTATGTCCTTAATTATTTGAAAATGCATTGTTAGACTAGCTTTTCTTCAAAAAGTCAAAAATGAGCAAATCATAATGGTAAGTAGCAAAGATAGACAGCATCTAACATTCATAAAGCAGTTCTATCTCTAAAAGAAATAAGAAGTTAAACAAATTTCAATTAAAAATTGAAATGATAGAATAAAATACATTAATATTTTAAAATGTCACAGGACACTGTACTTGTGAAACAAGTATGCGAAAAGAATGAGGACATTTTTAGTACTGTCAAACATTTTTTGAAAGTTGTTTTAAGGCACTCTGTTAGTGCTAAGATTACAGAAGTGTTTGAGGCTAGCCTGAGGCCTCTTTTGTCTACATTTTGTTAGACTGTTAGGTCAGTGCTCACTAAAGTCTTTTCCCTCCCCTCTTCCAACATTACTTAGGCAGTTCTACCCTAACTCTGGGGTTGTGGCATGAAACATGCGCTGGGTAAGAAGGCTGGCTGGGTAGTGCATTCCCAAAGGAGTCAGGTGATCACTGTTGGAAGGCAGCTGCTTGAGGTCCAAGGCAGTCAGTGTCCCCTCTCTTTTGCCTCAGGACAGCTGGTTATTTATTAGACTCCTAAGAAGTTTCCCTTGCTCCCTAGTAGAAGAGAGAGATTATGCAGCAGGGTTTTGATTGATCCAATGGGAATTACATTGATCTGGTGTCTGGCCTTGGTTCTTATCAAGTGGATCACCTCTAAGGTAGGCCATCTTTATTTTTAGGATGGTGACATTCATCATTATTAGTTTACATATTTGATAGGAATGAAGTAGCTCAACGATTTTTCTTCCGCTGTTACCTCAGTTTTTATTTCTGTAATTAAAAGAGCTGTGAGTTTCATCTGTCAGCCAAAGGACTTAAATTTACTACTTGTAGTTTTTATTCTTATCCCACATTATTCCTTCTTAAGGGCTTTTTATAGCATCTTTCCTCAATATCAAAGCAGCATTCCTCAGTATCACCGCCTTAAAGAAGTTTTTATGACTACAGAAGTTTAATTTTTAAGATTACAAAATTAAGTTATACTTTTGGTATACATATTTTAAACATTCTCTCAGAAAATTTAACAACACTTGTGTATTTCAAGTATAATTTTGAGGATTTCTAAACAGTTATAAACTTTTTAAAAATGAAAAACCATCCTCTATCCTGGTCTCCCTTAAGGTCTTGCTATTGCTAAAATATGTGCCTTATCTGTAATATATTGATGTAAACGTAGGATTATATATATGTAGTTTTTGAAGTTGAATTCTAAACGTCAGGCTTGAGAAATTCTTGATAGAATGCTAGCTAACCATTTGCCATCTGGACAGGGTCTAAAACGAAAGTAAAAATATTTAAAAGTATACTATTTAAAATTATTTTTTCTATACTTCTATAAAAATGATTTTATCATTCATCTACCTCACAGCTTTTGTCTTTCTAGATTGATAAACAATTTTTAAGGCCATCACTTAACTAAGAAACAAAGCTTCTATAAAGTTAATTTTCTTTTTCAAGCAAGATTTTAATACCTGCTATGTAATTTTCCACATTTAAACATAACATTTTAAGCATAATTATCTCTTAACTTGAAGTGTTCTTTTCTTAGTGACTATGATTGAGGAAATCTCTTAAAGAAAAATAATATATTCAGATTTTAAAATCTTTGTGTTTTAAAAGTTAAGAATTAATTTTGTTGCACTGACAGCTATTTACTCATTTTTAAAGGATTAACTTGCCAAGGCATTGAATGAAGGTCAAGTTAATGTTAATAATACATTAGTTGTCTTGTGGGTGTTTTCAGAGACTTTACTTTTTTAGTTTTTTTCTTTCTTTCTTTTTTTCTGTAGAGTTGAGGTCTTAGTATATGGCTCAGGCTGGTCTCAAACTCCTGGGCTCCAGCAATCCTTCTGCCTCAGTTTCCCAAAATACTGAGACTATAGATGTGAGCCACTGCACCTGGCCTCTAGACTTTACTCTTTTAATGACCACCAAAAAATTAAATTGTTTTAAACTAAAGGAATGATATATTTTTTTAATCCTTTGAAAAGGAAGAAAATGGGAAGGATACTATTTGGTAGATCAATGCACTATTTAAATACTTTGTCCACTCAAATACAAGCATGCTTTTCTAGCATATGTAAGTAAGATGACTACTCTGAAAAAGCTTATTTTGCTATGACAGAGGAACTTCACAACTTTGGCTGGGCTTCATCTTTTGCTATATTATTTTTTTTTTCAGTAGTGTTGCCAAAAATTTTATTCAGTGCTCCTTTGTTTAAGCCCTTTAAGCATCAGTTTATGAATCTGCAAAATGTAACTAATAAAGCCTACTACTGTATAGAGATCTTGTATGGGTTAAGTGAGATTTTGTGTGAAAACACTTGGAACATTTTTTTGGCACAAAGTAGGAGCACAGCAAGTGTTAGTTAATATATTATTACTCTTACCATGTAATGGAAATGCACTCGCTTTTGCTCAATAAATCATTTAGTGGAAAACTTGGAACAAAATAAAAACAATGGCACTTAAAATATCTTTGCTGGGTTTTAAAACATGTCTATCTTTAAAAGTTATGTATTAACTAATACTGGGAACAACTTTTGCACCTTTTATCATTTACCTTCAAGTCAAATCTTTTGTGGAAGAATGATTCACACTGATTCAAGGTGAGTCTTACTAGGACACTCAGAACTCCTGTTAGTGAGGCAGTGGGTCCTTTAGTGCTTTACAGTTTAACTTGTTTATGCTGCTGCTGTCAGTTTCTGATTAGCTCAGCCTCGCCCATGTTTTGACCTATACTCGTTTACTTTACAAGCTGTTCCCAGGATGGCTAAATTAGAAAAGTCACGAGTAGAAGCTTCTCAGTTATTTCCATTCACTGGTGAAGTGAGGTGGGAATGTGGGTGATAACTCTGAGACAGACAGTGTGACACAGGATTTTGATGAAATTTGTTTTGCTGTTATTAACAAGAAAATTCTAGTAGTATATGGTTTTTTTAATGATCATCTTTAAAGAAATCTTTGTTACAAGTGCAGCAGTCTTATATAAAAGTAGATATAAATATTTTTAAAACAACATGATTCTAACACAGAAGTCAAATTTTTGTTATAACTCATAATTTATAGTTTTTTTTCCAAAAAGAATTCCTGTAGATTATTCTACCTGCCTACTTTAGATTATTCTGCCTAGTCAGAGATCTTAATAATATTCATTTTAATTTTAATTCTTATGGGGGGTAGATGAATGAATTACCACTCAGGATGTCGTAGTTCAGTATAACATTTAAGCTAAATATTTGTAGAATAGCCTTACTTACATTAGTACCTTATAATGAAATAGAGTAACTTGGATATTTTGCACAGTCCTATGTAATTTGTATCTTTTAAAATTAAACTCTGCTTTTTTTGCTTAATAAACTAAGATTAATACAGACTGTACCATTTTAATATCTAAATTAGTGCTTCTATAAATGAGGCTAAAATGATTACCTTCATAAGTTTAGTATGCCATGGCATTATCTAGACTATATGTATTACCCAGTTTTTGACTTAATATTATTTTGTTATATTTAACAGAGAGCTAATATTGGTCAGTCTTTTACAATTCTTAATATGTGAAGTGATAAATATGATTTTCACCTTTCTAAATAGCAACTGTTGTAGTAAATATCCTTCCTACATTACAAAACTCATAATAATAATGTCAGCTACCCTCCTAAAGAGAACTGTTAGAGATAACAGCTTAAAGTTATTTAACAAGTTATTTATAAGTTATTACTGAATACCAGCAAATTGATAGGTCATCACAAGCTATTACATAATATCTATAGTTTTATTAATTTGCTGTAGCTGATAGAAATATTTATTGCCACATATGCCCTTCCTAGGCTACTAGGTTTACCCCTAGATTGGTGGTTTTAAGGAGAGGCCTCTGTAATCTAGTAAGCTAAATATCATGGGGAGGGGATTTGCACAGTAGCTATGAGTGGTGCCTTTTAACAGTGGCTGTTTGCTCCAGAATAACTACCATGAAACACTGCAGGAGGCTTCCTTAGGATATTCTATTAGTGGAAGACACTTTAAGCATGTTGCTAGGAGTGTATTCTATATGATTTGGTCCCTTGGGATTTAAGATCATGCTTTTCTTTTGTAGATTTCTTTATAGTAGATTTTTATTTTTTGATTTTAATTTTATTTATTTTGTGAATATATGATAATTATACGCACTGCAAGACTCAAAAAGTACAAAGATAAACATTGAAAAGCCCCTCTCCTATCTCTATGTCCCTCAGCCTCCTTGGAAACACACAGTAGTGATATAATTTTATTTTCATTTGAAATTTTTTCCTCTTATATTTAATGAACTGTGATTTTTTAGAACTTGTGAAATCATGTAAGATTTTAATTGATATTTTTCTCTTAAAAGATAAGTATTAAAGATACAGTAATGTTTTAGGTAATTGTTTTGCACACTAAATCCAAGTGAGGGCTTTAAGTACATTTTCAATATAATAATAGTAAAGAAAAAGTGACTATTTTCCTTGAGATTTGTAGGTATATTTTGAGGAGTTATAAATTCCTTGCCAAAGTCTTGTGAGGGAAGAGGATCATTAATCTGATATGTAAAAATACAATTTCATTGCTTTAATAAGTATTTCTTTTGTTAGTGAAGTCAAGCATTTTTTGTATTTATTGTTTCATTTTCTCCTTGTGAATAGTATGTTTATAGGTGAATACCTTGTGAATAGGTATGTTTATGTCCTACCTATTTTTCTACAGCGTTTTAGTCTTTTTCTAATTGATTTGTAAGGTACTTAAAAACTTTTCTGGGTGGGGGAAAGCCCTTTATTTTATCAGTTGAACTCATTTTTCTGGGTTTGAAGTTTATTCTTTACTTTGTTTATGATATATTTTACCATCATCATTTAACTTTTAAGTGGCCAAATTTGTCAGTGTTTCATGATTTAGGGATTTTTATGAGATAGTTAGAAAGGACTTCCTATTTAAGACTTTTAAAAATACAGTCCTGTTTCTTTTAATATTTTTGTGCTCTAATTTTTAACATTTAAATCACTGTTCTATGTGTAATGTGTTTTGGAGTGGGAAGGTAATAATACACCTTTATGTTTTTCTAGATAGCACCAAGTAATCTAATGTTATTTATTAAAAATCAATATTTCTGCCACAGATTCTAAGTCCTGTATTTGTCATGTACAGAATCACTGTATACTCTTGGATTTGCTTCTAGAGTCTCTGTTGATTATTTTCCCTATTTATTTGTGGTGTCACACTACTTTGTTAATATCCCATGGTGCTAGTTCATTCACCCGCTCCCCGCCTTTTTTTGAGGCAAGGTCTCACTCTGTCTCTCACGATGAAGTGCCGTGGTGCCATCATAGCTCACTGTAGCCTCCAAATCCTAGGCTCAAGGGATCCTCCTGCCTCGGCCTCCCAAGTAGCTGGGATTACAGGTGTGCAGTACCATGGCTGGCATATTACTGCTTAAAAGAAATGTGTTTGCTTGTTAATTTAACTAATTTTACTGATCACTTTTGACATGCTAGGCACTGTTCTAAATGTTGGGATTTATCCTAGATCTGGGAATACAGCAGTGACTGAAGTCCCTGTCTCCACATAGCTTAGATTCTATGTCTAAGCTCTGATTTGGTCAGTTTTATCTTCCTCATTTTTAAATCTATCCTCATTTATATCCATTCTGTTAATCACTAATTTATTCGTCAATTTATTTATCAGTGGTTATTGATTTATTTGCAATAAATCCATTTAGTCATTTATTTACCAAATTTCTATTTAGAACATACTAAATAATAGGTCTTGTTTTAGAAACCAAGGATGCAGTGATGACTACGACAAGTTTCTGCTCTTGTGGAGCTTTTATTTTAGTAACACATTGACAAGATAACGTTGGCTGCGTGCAACACAGAGGACTGAGATAGGGAGCTCTGGAAGAAGCTGGGTTCCAGGTGGCTCTAGATTTGGTAGTCAGGGAATCCCTCTCTGAAGAGATAACGCTTTGTCTAGAACCTGCAAGGTAAGAAGGGAACAGTGAAGCAGTGATCCAGGACGAGGGAACAGCAAGTGGAAAGGCTGCATATTTGTTATAGATGAGGAAAAGCAAGGAGGCCAGCTTGGCTGTCTCCGAGCAGTGGGGGAGGCCAAAGTACAAGAGGGCACAGAGGTAGGTAGGTCACAGAGGACTCTTCGAAATTAAAACTTGGGGAGCCCCAACTGTAATGGAAGCCTTTGGACAATTTTGAGCAGAAGCTGAAATGCTTACTTTTGCTTTTATGCGAAGCATGGACTGGGGCCATAGAGATGCATCAGAAAGCCAGCGGATTGTCCTTTCCTTTCTTTTCTGTTAATATTTGGCAACTCCTATCAGTCCCTTTTGAGTCAACTCAAATGTAACCCCAAAACCTTTATCGACTTACTCAAACAGATTAAATTTCCAAAGAGAGGCTGTATGTGCCTCTCTTTGTATCCATCTTTATGGTAGTTCTTAACCATACTATATTGCAATTTGTCATCCTCCTACCCCAGAGATTTCAAGAACAGGTACCATATCTAATTTCGTTTTGTATATCCAACTTCTCTTGCACAGTGCTTCACAAATAATAAATGATAAATACATATTTATTGAGTTGAATTTTATATCATATTTGTCATATAATGTGTGGTTTTTTTTCTAGAGGCGTGGAGCTATTTCCTATGACAGTTCTGATCAGACTGCATTATACATTCGTATGCTAGGTAAGCATTATTTATTTTGTATGAATATCACTTAATTTTGTTATTATCTGTTGTTATTTGAATTTGAGGTATCTTTCTTTAGGTAGCTTTTCATAGCTGTTTGTAGCAGAAATATCCTGTTACCTAATAGAGTGTAGACTCTGGAAACCAATATTGAATGTGATGTGAGTAAAGAGAGGTATTTTAGAGTTACAGGTAGTTGAGAAATCTTTGGCTTAATACCTGGGACACTGTCATTAGTACACAGTTTTAAATTGCATCTTGAACATTCTTCATAGAAAATAGTCTGAGATTTGTAGTGGCTAAATACCAAATAGATGAATGCCAGCATGGACAAAGGTGGGGCCATGAAACACCTCAGATAGTCCTGTTCTTCTCAGTTGACTGGCAAGCAAGACCATTTGACTTCTTCTAGTTCTGATGCTTAAATTTTTTATATTATTACTCAATTCCTCCAGGTCAAATGTATTTAGATATGTGCATATATATATGTCTAATTTTCTTTCTTTCTTTTTCTCTGTACCAGATTTCTGTCTTTATCCATGTCTCCTTTATCCTTGCACTTTATCTCATATTATTAAACACGCATATTAAGATTCCAACAGGCAAATTTATTCATTTTTTGTTAGAAGATTCTCCCACGACTCCTCCTCAGCTCAGAATTCCTCCCTCAACTTTATGATATTGATCCATCCTTATTCTTCACCTACTTTTATTTTTTTCTTTGCCACCTTCACTAATTCTTTTTCATACTTCCAAGCTGAAGTGTTTCCCAAGGTTCTGTTTTAACTCTTACTCCTTTTTGTTCTCTCAATTATCTTGTGTACCTTAGGTGCCTCAATTCTTTTTTACTCCAATACATATTTTTGCTTTACAAATGTGCAGCCGTTTTCTCCTTGCTGTCTCCATCTTTCTCTAACAAACATGTTCAGGATTTTGCTGTCCTTAAGACAGAGCTTTGGATTCATATTTTCTTTAACTCTGTAGAACATCTCCATGTTAATGTTATAAATACCTCAAACTTAATATGTCTAAAGAGAAACATTTGTTTTCCATGTCTGTCTGATTCTGCAGTCTTTTGCCATCTCAGTAAATATAACCCCCTTCTTCCAGTCCTCAGGTCAGAAACCTCAGAGTCATATTTGACTTTCTGTTTCTTGCATACTCCATATTGAATTCATCAGCATATCCTACCGAGTGATACCCTAGAATACACCCAGAATCTGTCCACACCAATGCTGTTGCCACCACATTTGTTACTTACTCTTTAACTGAAGGCCCTGCATCTATCTTTGTTCCCTGACTCTCTTCTCATCTCACTCCTCTGTTCAGAAATCTCTGATGGCCATGAAGATCCAGCATGATCTTACCCCGCCGCTGTCTCTCCACCCCACGCACACCGGTTCCCTTCACTCACCCTGCTCCTGCCATGCCAGCCTCTTGGCTTGCCCTTGACTGTGCCAAGCATGCTTCTGTCTTGGGGAGTTTGTTCTGGCTCTTCCTCGTGTCTGGAAGCCTCTTCCTTCCTGGCTCACTGCCTCACTTCCTTCAGGTCCCTGTTCAGATGCCCCCTTTTCAGTGAGGGCTTCTCTGACTGTACTCATTAGTCACCCTCCCCTGGTCCTCTCTTTATTCCTCTTACCTTTAGTTTTCTCTGTGACTCATCAACTTCCATAGACCAAAATTTGGTATTTATTATTTGTGTCATCACACAAAAAGATAAGCTTCATGAGGACAGTGACAGGGACTTTGTGTATTTTTCTCACTGCTCTATGCTTGGTTACATTTGTTGCAGCATGAAGGAATGGCCACAGGACAGGTGACTTGTCATTTTGGGATGGAATTATAGTCGATGAAGTGAGCCTTGGAGGAAATGATGGTCTTACTGAGAGAAACAGAGTAAGCAGGAGAGGCCTCTAGGCAAGCAAAATTGCAAGAGAACAGGGATAGAGGCTGAAGATTTAAAGGTTATGAATTTGGAGGCTATAAAAGTGTAGTGGGAAAAGTGCTGTCCTTGGAACCCGTGGAGCTAGGTTTAAATCCTCACCCTTTGCACTAGCTTTGTGGCATAGAGCGTGCTATTTAACTTCTCAAAGTCAAGTTTTTGAATCTGTGAAATGAAAACTAAGATTCCTATCTCTGAGGGTTGACTAGAAGAGAAAAGAAAATAATGCCTTTAAAACACAAAAAAGAGTGTCTAGAACATGGTTGCTATGGTTATGTTGCCGTATAGAGAAATAAATCTGGAAGTAATGTGGGCACACGTAGGAGCAACACTGAGCTTATGAAGACCAAAGTTTAAGGCTGAGCTAAAGGCCTTGGGTGCACCCACTGTCAGTGAGAAAAGAGTGATTAATCAGATTGACTTTACAACAAAGTCTTTAACATTTAAAGTTTTTATACATTTATGAAATTGTAAACTGCTTGAAAATAAGTAATGTATTTTACATTTTTCATGTCCCTTTTAGCCCATAGTATAGTGCTAGGCATAGAGTCGGCTCTTAATATATTACTTCTTGCTGCGGCTTTCTCAAGTTTTGTGCTGAGGATTGTAATTATTATTGTTGGGGTAGATTTTTTAAAAATCCTATTCATTCAGCCTTACAATTCATTACTGAAATTTTGTGAACCCTTTCAAATAAATTAGCTCTCAACTACCTGGTTTCACATATATCATCAGTGGGCTGTTACTTATGAATATGATACCACATGGACCTTTGTTGCATATGGAGGCTTCTTCCCACATGACAACCTTATAAACTTATGTTTATTCTTGTTTCTGTCCAGGAGATGTACGTGTAAGGAGCCGAGCAGGATTTGAATCAGAAAGAAGAGGTTCTCACCCATATATTGATTTTCGCATTTTCCACTGTAAGTGTTGGTAGACATGAAGTTTAGACTTTCACTAAACTTCAACTTTTAATAAAATTACATTGTTTTCTAAGGGGAAAAAATACCAGAAAGAAACTGTATTATGTTAGGAATGTTTTTAAAAACGAGGTCATGTAAATGACACTATTTCTAGGTAACATTAGCAAATGCTTAGAGACAGTTAGAAGAGGAAGATACTAAAATATGAAAGTTGATAGAGCTTTTTTCCTTTCTAATTTATTACATTGTTTTCTTCTTTAAAAAGTTGTTTTCTTCCAAATGGTTTGTCTTTGCTACTTCAAATAAAATGTTTTTGTGCAAATGATATTTTATGAAGGTATTTCAGTATTCAAAAGATATTCTTTTAGGTGTATTTGAAAATGTACATCACCTTTAAAGATGCTTGGTAGAGTGCCTATTTCAAAAACAAACATTCTCTGTGGATCTGGCCTGTAATAGAAGGAAAGGGAAAAAACAGAACTTCTAAATACCTTAAATACTAAACATTTTAAATCTCTGCTTCTGGAGGAGTTCAGCTTTCACTAATGTTGGCTAAAGTAATTTGGATTGATACTCTAAAAAAAATGAGGAAAACTGTTGAAAATGTAAAAGATATGTATGTATTCAAATACTATCTGAATGCTATTGAGGCAGAGAGATAAGCCCAGCACTTCAGGCCACTTTTCTCCTTAGTAGCATGTGCTGATTCTGGGAAAGGTGGAGCGAAGATGAGCAGAGCTTTTTTTGGACACTTAGGGCTAGAGAAACAAAAACAGGTGTTTACAGCCCAGCAAGGTTGGAAGATTAGTGCTGATAAACCACTCAGGCTTAGGTTGGAATCCTAAAGTGCTATGCCTTAGAAATAAATCCCAACTTTGAAATATGTCACTTACTGAATACATTAAGGTGATCTGTGACTCATGTTTCTAGCCACCTGCAGGACAGAGACGTTTACTCATCCCTTAAGTTTGCTAGCTGCAAACACAGCCCTGGGACATGTCCTGGGCAAAGACTAGTCAGGGCTCTGCATTCTTGAGACATCAGTAAGAATGTGCAGCGACACTCAGGGCCTCTGAGGAGGGTTACCTCTCCCAATAACAAATGACCCTAAAACTTACTGGCATGAAACAACCATTATTTTTTAATGCTCTTGATTCCAAGAATCAGGAATTCAGTCAGAGTATATCAGGTTTGTCTTGCTTGTGCTCTCCAGTGTCTTGGTCTTTGATTGGAATGGTTTAGACAGCTAAAAATGGCTGGGATAGTGGCACTGGAGCCTTATGTCCAGGGCCTTGGTCCCTCTCATGTCATCTCCTGGGGCTGGAACCTCTAAGGTGGCTTCTGCCCTCTTAGGTGTGGTGCCAGCATTTTTCTCTCTCCGTAAATGGCAGTCTCAGGGAAGTCTTGGGGTAGTTGGACTAATTACTTGACATCTGCTTTCTCCCAGAGCAAGCATTTCAAGAAAGAGGAAGTGTGGGGACTCAGAGTGTCTGAAGATCTGGGCCTAGACCTGACATAGCATCACATTTCCATATTCTGTTGATTAGCTGTGTCACACAGCTTGCTCAGAGTCATGGAAAGAAGACCCAGCCCTCTCCCCACCCTGATTGTCAAAGGGTACAAGGTCAAAACCTTTTTAATCTCCCATTCTTTAATCTGGCACAAAATGTTTTGAAAAGGTAATTAAGATCCCAGAAGGAGTGGAGAGGGAAAATGTAGCAGGAGCAGTCTTTAAAGAAATATTGGCTGAGAAATCTCTATAAGTTGATAAAAGACATTGAAGCACAGATTCAGGAGGTGGCATAAATCTCAAGCAGAGTAATATTAAAAGAAAATCACACCCAAGTGTACTGTAGTACAACTATGAAAACCAAAATCAAAGAGAAAGAATTAAAAGTAATAAGGGGGATGTAGAATATTACTTTCAAAGGAGCAATTATGGGATTGCCAGAAACAGATTTTTCGTTTTCCACAGAAACTAGAAGGTAGAAGGCAAAGGAAAGATAACTGATGTGCTAGAAAAAAATAAACTGTCAAACTAAAAATGTCATCCACAAACTCTGAAAAGGACACACTTCACAATTTATTATGTAAGGCTAGTATGTAATCTTGATACTACAACATGACAAGGATATGCCAAGAACAGAAAATAACAGCCAAATCGCTCATGAATATAGATGAAACATTCTAAATAACATCTTACCAAATTATATCGAGAACGCAAAGGGAGAATAATATGTTTTGACCCAATTTATATTTTTCCAGGAATATAAGGTTGGTTAACAGTGAAAAATCAATCAGCATAATTCACTATATTAATAGAATAAAGGGGAAAAGTTATGGATAGGTTAATACAATAATGCTGAAATGGCAGTGCTAAATGCCAAGATGACCAACTGCTAAGAAAAGCATTTGATAAAATTCAACATTTGTTCTTCCTTAAAATTCTGAGCAAGCTAGGAACAGAGAAAAACTTAAACAGTCTGAAACATTACCTGCAAAACTAGCAAACATCATATTTAATGGTGCAATATTAAAACATTCTTTCTGAGATGAGAAATCAAGAATATCTTTCATCATCTTTTCTGTGCAGTATGTCAGAGATCCTAGCCAGTATGATAATGCAAGAAAAAGAAATTAAAATGTAAGGATTAGAAAAGAAAAAGTATCATTTATATGGATGACATGGTTATGTACTTAGAAAATTGTTAGGATTAATAAGTGAATTTAGCAGGTTTCCTGGATACAAAGTATGTAGTTGTATTTCTGTAAAATAACTGTGAGATTGAGATAATATATAATTTGAATTTATATAAAAAAAATATCAAATATGTAGGGATAAATTTAAAGATATGTATAACTCTGCATAGAAAACCAGAAGACATTACAGAGAAAAAGTAAAAATAAATAGAAGTATATAGACTGTTGTTTATGGATTGGAGGATTCAGTATTTAAAGATGTTAGTTTTTCTTCTTTCCTAAGTCAATCTATATAGGTTTAGTGAAATCACAGTGAAAATTCCAGCAGTTTTGTTTTTTTTTAAAATAAAATCAACAAGCTAATTTTAAAACTTACACAAAAATTGGAAAAGCTGAGAATAGCCAAGACAAGTAGGAAGAAGAACCAAATTCTAGAGTTTACATCTCATAGATACCAAACTTATAATAATTAAGTCAGGTGATACTCTTCAAGGACTGGCAAATACAGGCATACTGTAGAGTCCAGAGATAACCCACACACATATGGATATTTAATTTGTGACAAGTTGATAATGCAGTGGGTAGAAGATAAATGTAGTTTCACCAAATCAAGTGGATGCCCACATAGGGGAAGAAAAATTAATCTTGGCCCCGGTTCACACCGTATATTTAAAAAAAAAAAAACAAATTTTGATTGATAAACTTTGCCAAATTATGCTGATAATTCAGGTAAGATGAGGAATGCTAAATCAATAAGATTGACTTAGCCATGTGGACATGGTGGTAGGGGAAGCCTGAAATTATAGTGACTTTAAGAGAGAACGGAAAGATGGGAATTAGATCTAGCAAGGAGACACAACTCTTTAAGAAAATTTTGCTGCAAAGAAAAGGGAAGAAACAAGAGAGGCAACTGACAAAGGAAGTAGGACACTGAAACTAGAAATTAATAGCAAAGCTGGAAAACAAAAAATCCTGGTCACCTGGAAATTTTTCAAATTCCGAAATAAATACTTATTGGGTCAAAGAGGTAAACCATAAAAAGGTGATAATTAAAGACTATATATATGAAAACCTGTGAAATTCAGCTAACAGTGCCTACAGGAAAATTCATTGCCTTAAAAATACTACATGCATAAATGAGAATGAAATAAGTCAACTAAGTAGTCAACTCAAAAAGTTAGAAAAAATAATATCAAAATACACCTAAGATAAAGTAAGTAGTTGGTAAAGATAAACAGAAATCAGTGAACTAGAAAACTAAAATAAAAGTAGAATTCTGTGGCAGGGTGCCATGGCTCATGCCTGTAATCCCAACACTTTGGGAGGCTGAGGCAGGCATATCACAAGGTCAAGAGATCGAGACCATCCTAGCCAACAACATGGTAAAACCCTTTCTTTACTAAAAATTAGCCGGGCATGGTTGTAAGATGATGCCAGTGCACTCCAGTCTGGTGTAGAGCAAGACTCCATCTCAAAAAAAAAAAAAAAAGTAGAACTCTGTAACTAAGAGCTGGTTGTCTGCAATAAAACAAATAAGTTGCTAGCTAACTTAATCAAAGGCTAAATGGAGCCAACATGCATACACAAAGTAAAAAATAAGAGGAAAATACCACAGATAAGGAGAAAATAAAAGAATCAAAATGGATTACTTTACTTGACCCCAAAAATATATTTGAACATTTGTACGATCCAGAAAATTTTCTTAAAAATTATAGTTTATCAAAACTGAATATAGAAAACATAAATTAATTCAGCAATACTCAGTGTGTGCTCTGGGATCCTCAAGACCCTTTTGGGGGTCTGTGAGGTTAAAACTGTTTTCTTAGTAATGCCAAGATGTTATTTGCCTTTTTCACTTTTATTCTCTCTCAAGGATACAATGGAGTTTTCTAAGGCTGCATGATGATGTCTCAGTACATTCAGTGTATTAGGAGATAGGAGAGATAGCCAAACATTTCTCACTACATTTTTCTTTGTTTTGGACAATATGGTTATTCTTAATAAAAATGTTATTTATGTTAACATGTTACAGGTTTACAGTAATAAATATTTTATATTTTTAAATACTATTTAGCCATTAAATATTTTCAAATAAATTTTGTTTTATATATATTTAAATTAACTAAATATTTAAATAATAAAATTTTAATTTCTATGTGGTAAATATTGATAGCTGTAACCTACATAGAGTTATTGGGCTGTCAATAATTTTTTTTTTTTTTTGAGACCGAGTTTCGCTGTTGTTACCCAGACTGTGTGAGAGTCCTGAGAAACCAGCGTGTTAGAGAAAGTTGCGTAAG